CAGGGCGTTGATTCTAGGCAATGGGTAGCCATCTTTTGGGCATGACAAATTCATGTTTGTGAAGTCCATACCCATCTTCCACTTATCTATTGCATTCTTTACTATTGAAACATTGAATATCAAGTACGAATATTGAACCCCTTTAATAATGTTGACATCTATGAGCTTCTTTACTTTTTTCTTGATGGGCTCAATGAGTAAGACAACTATTTTCCTAATCTTTTTCTTAATGAAGACATCATCTTTTCTTATATTGAGTCTATGGCAGGCAACATCTTCACTGATGTCTGACATCTCTGTAGTCGTTCACGCAAATAGACCTAGGTCGCCCCAAAATGCTTGAATGAGCTTACTTCTCAATGCTCCTTTTTGAAAGAAGTGCTAATTCTAAGGGTTGTATTATGCTTTCCTTTGATGGCGGGCCCTTTTTTGACTGTTTTAGTGGTCTCCAAGCTTGGACCTTGCTCCACGTGTAGTTGGAGGACTTCTGTGGTTGCTTCCACCTTATTTATTGCTCTTATGTAGCAAATGCGCGATTGGGTGAGATCTCCCCTGACCATCATCTCCTTCCCATCTGCCGGGAACTTGATATGATATGTAAATACCACAACCCTAAAGGTATTTAGTAGAGGCCTGCTGAATATAGTGTTTTAAGTTGCTGGGGTGTCGATTTTGATGAAGTTGTCCATCATAGTGTATTAGTGATCGCCCTCACCCTAGGTAGCTAGTAAGGTGAGTACTCCTTTGGTATCATGCCGCTTACCAGAGAAACTATTAATAGGGTTTGTAGTGGGGGTGATGTGAAACAACATGCGGTGAAACATGAATTGCACGTTAGAGATTAATGAGAGTTTAACTTTGCAATGTTAACGATAAAATCTAGCTTACTCAAGTTGGATTCAAGAAAATTTTTGATAGATTAAGTTAACGGCAGTGATTACATTTAAGAATTACAAGAGTCTTGCAAAAGATAACCAAAAGAAAACTAAATATGCAAATAGCTGCTACTAAAGCCACACGTTTAAAATTTAGACCATTCACCTTGAGGTCCGAAAATCTCTCTTTGAAGTGGAGGTTAACGGAAGAGGGTTGCAAGAAACTTAGCGATACCACTAAGACACATGTGATGCCGAGAGGACTCTTCGCCGGGAAAGAAGCCGGATTTGGAGAAGCCGGTGGATGTCCGCGGATGATCCAATTGTAGTTTTCAAATTTCTCATCTACGACATCCACGAGCGTAGGGAGGATGCGGTTCAAATAGTCTTCGACAGTGTCGTCGGGTCCAAACCCAACGTCGAAGAACGACGAGCGAGCTATATGTATACTTCCGTAGACGTCAAGTACTAAACCAGTGTCCACCTCAGGATCCGCCATGCATCTTGCTTGAGTGCTTGATGTGGTTTCTTAGAGAAAGGCTCCCAAGGAAACAAAAACTGAAATCTGAAGTAATTTCAGTTTTGGAAGAGGGGGAAGGGAATTAATTTGATGAATTCAAAATAATTCTGAAGGGGAATTGATGGGGGCGGTGATGGGAGGAGATTGGGCTGATTTATTGATGTAATTATGTCATTTGGAGGAGAGAGAAGGCCAATGAAGGGGGGCCGACCATATGAGGAGAGGAAGAGGAATTGGAGTTAAGAAGGTGGGGCCCAAGTTTAAGTAAGTAATTGAATTAAATCTGAAATTTTAATTTCAGATTTAATTATGGCTTAAGTAACTTCCCAAAACTTGAAATGAGAGGGAATTCAAATTTGAAAATTGAATTTGGCTTTAATCTCATTAATGGGCTTGTTAATGAATGAGCACCAATTAGGAAGGTGTTTATTCAAAGAAATTAATGGGAATTTCTGGAATTCAAAGTGGGGAGGCGGCAGGAAGGGGCGGATGGGATGACCGGCGGGGATCTGGCCGGCGGGAGGCTGGCCGGTGGTGGCTGCTTTTCTGGCCGGCGAAAATAGGGGGAAAACACAAGGTGGCCGGCGGCTTTGCTGCTTGGATTGGACGGCGGCAAGGGCAAGGGACAAAGGAGATGGAATTTTATGGGGATTGGATGACTACGAATCTACTAACCTCAAGTGTCTTCTCCTTGAGTTTCCGCAAGATTAACTAGCACGAAAACTAGAATTCACAAAGAGATCTAGCATTCTCCGGCGAACTCACTAAGAGAACTTGGAGGGAGGAACTCACAAAGAGAACAAGTAGGAAATTTCATTTCTTCATCAATGCTCTACTATTACAAGAGAAGGACCATATAAATAGGCCTCACAATGACAAAGAAAAACAAAAGACTAAAATGCCCCTTGGGCTACAATAGCTATCAAATACCCATAAGGGCAAAAACGGAAAAACATAAAATAAAATTAAACTATTACATAAAATGATAAAAGTAAAGATCATGATCGTGGCCGTCGATCTCCGTCATCTCCTGAAGGCACATGTGTCAAAATCTGATGTCTCCATCAGGGGGTATGCTTGTTGAGAAGCAAATTCATTTTTATCAAGGATAGATTTTAAAATAATATTTACTGAACTTTTTGTGTTATTCAAAATGTTGTCGATCTGATAGTTGACGATTAGTACAATGATAACCACTACGTCATTGTGGCGGTTCCCTCAACTTGGTTTATCTTCTTCACAAAAGGTGATGGGCGCGTTGCCCATTACGACAGCTCGAGAGGGCCATGCTTGAGTTTGCGCGTTCTTTGCCCATGATGGAGGGCACCACTCTGGCTACGTGTATCGAGTGATCAGGTACCTGCTCATTTACACGGCCCTCAATAAGGGCTTTTCTTGGTCGCCGTCCTGGATTGTCGAGCATAAATTCCTTTAATTTCCAGCTTTGATCAATTCTTCAACTAAACCACGGAGGAAACGACAGTCCTCCGTATCATGGCTGTGTTTTTTGTGGAAAGCACAATACTTAGAGGTATTGTGGGTGTTTGCGATGGCCTTTATTAGTGGTGGGTGCCTGTAGTACTCCTTGTTTTGAATAGCTTCTACAAACTTGATCATTGACACTGTTAGCGGAGGTTAAGTGGGGTAAGTGGGCGGTTGATAGACGACCTTTTCATGATGAGGTCGAGTGGCGTGAGGAAGTTATTCAGCTGTCGATTCTAGTCTCCTTGCTATCCTCAAGGGCCTTTGTTGCGCAGGCACCGGTTGCTACTTAGGATGTCATGGTCGTGTGACAAATTCTGACTTTTGTTTCTCCTTGGGATGAGTCCTTTCGCTCTATTCCTCGATAGGGTTCCTGATGGTGGGTAGCTGTGAGAAATTTTGATGCTCGATTGTACTCTTTAGCCTTCACATGATTATTGGCAAGCTCCAACAGTTTGACAAGAGTCCTCGGTTGCTATCAGTCGAGTGCGTATTTGAAAAGACCTTCCCTTACTCCTTGGATCAGGCAACCGTAGTAATTATGGGCTCCAGATCTTTGACGTTCTATTAAGAATCTTACTTTGAAGTTCATCAGTCATTCCACAAGCTCCTACCTCATCTTCAAAAGTGCGTGTGAATTCTTTTGGTGTATCTGGGTGCTAGCGAATTTTATCACGAACATTTGCTTCAATTCAAGAAATGAGGTGATCACTCCCAAGGGCAGGCGAGTGAACCACATGAACGCTAATTCATTGAGTGTCGGGAATAAAAGGTGACAATTAAGAGTTGTTTATATCTAACAAGGGGGGTCATAGACTCGAAAGTGTCCACATGATTAGTGGTATCAGTCTTGCTACGATATTACTCTAAGTGGGTGATGTAGAACAAAAACGCCGGCTTTGCTACGGAGAGAATCTCCTCTCCAAAATCTGAAATTGTTCCTTGCAAAAACTGAAAGAAATCTGGATTTATTCCAGCTCACAAAATCAGAAAATTTCCTTCAGATTTTTGTTCCAAAACCTGAGAAAATTCTCAGGTTTCAAACTCCCTCTCGTGCAGGACAGCAATTTAAATAAAACAACCTGAGAGAATTCGGCTTTGTGAAGAGGAAAGCTGAGAGGAAAATTCTGGAATTAATTCCAAAGAGAAAAAAAAAAAAACTGTGAGCTGGGAAAGAATTAAATGAGTTCCTAATCCTGAAATCAGCTTTTATGAAAGAATTAGGGATGTGAAGTACTTTCCACGTGAGGGAGAGGGGCCGGCTGAAATGTGGGGAGGGGATTAAGGGATTGATTAGAGGGTTAAATGGGGAATTAATTAGGTAGGAGATATAGGGAGAGGATGAAGTGTGGAATCTGAAATCACGCTCAGATTTTACCTTTATGATTTCAATTGAGCACTTTCCAAAAATAGGTGAGCTAAATTAGGAAAAAAATTTGAATTTCAAATTTTGAACAATTTGAATTTCAAATTAATTCCTAAAATCATGCACTCCTAATTAGGAAATCCAAGGAGAGAGGGGAAAGGATGAGGCCGGCGGCTAGGGAGCCATGGCCGGCGGTTTGTGGTGGATCTTCGGGTGAGGTGGCTGGCGGTTTTTGGTGGAAATGGGGACGACGTTGGTGGACGGAGGTAGAGGATGACACAACAAGAAGGAACCAAGAAAAGTAAAGATAGAAACGAAAGCTAGAAAATAAGAACCGCGAGCCTCGGACTCTTCCGAAGACTGACGGGTGATCCGTTGCCCTTCTCCAAGGGACTTCAAATCACGAGCTCGGACCCATCCTGTGGCTGGTGACATCTTCGATTCCTTCCCATAGGAATTTCACTCTCGTTCTCTCCCAAGAAGAACACAAAAGTGGAAAACACAAAATTTTTCATATCAAATTAACCATCCTTTTACAATAGCTTAAGGCCCTATATATAGGCCATAACATGATAAAATAAAAAATACAAAAGTGCCCCTTGGGCCATAACACTCATATAAAATATCCTAGGGGTACAACAGGAAAATACATTAATTAAGAACTAAAATGCAAAAAAATAAATCATAATTGAAGGTTTAAATCATGGCCGTCGATTTGCGACGCCTCCTGTGATAGATGCGCCAAATCTTTATACCGATGTCCGCATCAGTGGGGCTTTTTAAACCTGAGAGGCAGCCTCGCCTCGACGACCGCCCTTTTAAAGGCATTGGTCAACCATGGCTCCTCTTTCCTTCCTCGCTTGATCGGTGGGCTATAGTCATCATTACTTTTCTAGGTGTGAGTGTGGTCAACAATAGGTACAGTGGCGACTGGCCTTTGAGAGTGTCTCTGGCGAGCTCTCGAGTCAGATGATCACTCGTGCATACCTTTAGCCTGCGCTCTTCTTGCAGGTCTGCCTAAGGCTTCCTGATTGTCTTCATAATTTGCTCTTCCATCTCTTGTAGATCCCGACAAGTGGTGTATTCCATGTTGTCCATGATTCTTGCGAAGGTTGCTCGTCAAGTAAAGTCTATCTTCTGGTCTTTTGCATCAATCCACATCACCACACTTAAGAGCATATTGAATCAATATTTGTTTGGTGGATGATACCAGACTTTACTTGCATATTCACTAAGTGAGCTTGAGAACCTATTAGTGAGAATGGAGGATGGAGAAGAGTAGAGAATAGAGAATGGAGGAGAAATATGCTAGTGTAATCTTAACTATCTCAGTTATGCATACAAGAACAAGCTCAGAGCTAAAAAAGATCTACGAACCCCAAAAAATTGAAGTCCAAAAGTTCTTCAGCCGTTCCTCCTCATCCTTTATTTATAAGCATTTTAAGGGCTACAGGAAATACTATATAGAAAAAAGACAAATAATGTGGGCTACATATAGTTACTCGTACAGTGCTACATGCTAATCTAGGATACTTGGTGCCTTTTGTTTGACCCTAAGAAGGTGAAGTCAATGAGTCAGTAAACTTTCTGCTGTCAGGCGAGCTCCAGAGAGGGCGATAATCCTAAGAGGAGGTTGACACATAGCCAGAAAGTTGTCCGACATTATTTGGTGAGTGACATAAGAGGCTCAGAGTCGCCCAATTGATGAAGGTGAGTTAACTTGAGGCTGGCATGGGTTGCAACTAAATGAGTGAAGGTTCAATGCAGTAGGCGCTTTCTTGTGAATAAGTTTAGCAGACTCAGCGGGATTAAAGGGTAATAACTTGACTGAGATGAATGATGATTTGTTTCCTTGGTGAGGAAACATCTTGTCTTCTAAGTGGATGTGGGTGAGTGACGCCCTCTTTTTGGGCGATTTCTTCTGGTCCATGGGGAGTCCTTGAAGGCACCTATTCCTGAGGAGTATTTTGTCACGACTCACGACCTAGTTGTTACCTGCAATGATACTTGAAGGCAATTAATGGTGTATAGGAACCTATAACCAGATCTTGGAAACCTTGCTAAATAAAGCGAAGTCTCTAGGTAGTGGTTTATTTACAATACAGTTTACCTTTTTAAAATTTGCTCAAGACCATAGCTCTCATATATGAGCTAGGTGTGAATTTTCACATGCCAAATGTCTGACAAATTTGGGAGAGAATGGAAGCAGGAGAGTGACATATTCGAGTGGAGTAGGAAACTGTTGACCAATTGAGCGTGAATGGGAAGTAGTAAGCGAGAGTGGGATTGATTGCGTGGTTGAGTGCTAAGCGCTAGAACAAAGTTATGCAAGCGCAGGAGGATGCACATGAGAGAGATAAAAAGACAAGCGCTTGAGTCTTAGATTTGTGTCAGAGTGCTGGCTTCTTAGCTTGACGCTTGCAGGGGACCAGGGCATTGATGGCATAGGGTAAGTGATGCAAGCAAAAATTTGGGAGAGGGCCCCAAATTTTTGCAAGCAAATGAGACTTCCTATAAATTAAAAGATAACAGAAGATATAGAAAATACTACAAACAAATACAAAATACGATAAACCACAACTTTATATAATAAAAAGACTTACAAACTTAGACACTTACAAACTTTCGAAAATAAAATGACACCTTACAACTCTTGACGCGTAGAAACATAAACATAAACATAAACAAAGATTCCTAAAGTTGCATTTCTTTGAGAAGAAAGATACAGGTGGAGTGGAAACTTGCGGGTAGAAGAAGAGATTAGAAGCCGAGATGAAGATAGGAGGACAAGCTCACAAGCTTTCCTAGGAGAAGGGAGGAATGGAACAAGCTCGCAAGCTTTTCCACGAAGAAACCCGCAGGTTCTATCAAAAAATTAGCCACATAACCATCTCTTTTTATCCCAAAACATCTCCTATATATAGGGAAAAGAGGGCAGCCTAACAGCCACCTAAAAGCAATATTTAAATCCATTAAAATAGGGAAATAGAAGGCCATAAGTCACCAAGAAGAAGGCCAAGAGACAATCCAGATTTCTGTCCAGAAATCACAACAAAACATCACCCAAACATCCCTGCATTCATGCCAAAACAGCCCCCAAAAAGCCACCAATGAGGGCCAGCTGGCTACCCAAAATCAGCAGCCAAAAAGCCCAAAACAGCAGCTGAAAAGGCAGAAAAAACTGCTGCAGATTTTCTGCACAAAAAAACAGAGAAACTCCCATGGAATCCCCCCCCTCTCCCAAACAGCCACTGAAATCAGCCAGCAAGGGGCCCGAAAACAGCACAGGCGACAAAGGGACAGAGCACGTTAAACCAGGCAGCTAGGGGTCCAAGAAACCAGCACAGGAGACAAAGGGACAGAACACGGGAAACCAGCCAGCAAGGGGAAAACCGAGAAGTCAGCACAGGAGACAAAGGGGTCAGGCACGGGATCTCCAGTCAGCCACAGGAACCAAAGGGCAAAGATCCACAATAATGAGCTTCCACTAAACTTACATAAATGAGCTAAACTTTTTACTTCAATAAATGAACTAAAAAACAGCTCATAATGAGCTAAATTTCAGCTCAAAGAATTAATGAGCTAGCAAGCCCAAGAGTAGTCAAAAACCAAAATTTAGGATTTGATTTGATCCCCCCTGCCTATATCAGTAAGTGAGAGAGCAGGTGGTTTGCGTAAATGTGGAAGAGTTTTTAGTGCGAGAAAAAGAGTGCTGGTGGGAAGTTAGGCCAGGAAGGAGAAACAAACATGCGAGAGAGGCATGAAGAGTGGGAGATACTTGCATGTCTTTGTGGACTTCAACATGTGTTAAGACAGCTCTTGCCTTGTTCTTATGTCTATCGTGGAAATGCACTGCAAATTTGAGCTGAATGACTGTTGCAGTTTTAGGCTCACACGACTAGGAGATAAAAACATGGCTCTGAAGTCAACGAGGAGATGAAAGAAGAATCAAAACGGATATGGAGATTGCTGCATGAGCAGTTGAAAAACATAACGTATTTTCTTAAAAAATAGTGGTGCTTGTCCATGGGATTCGAGGAAAATAAAGAATTGAGTTGAAAAACTTGGGAACATGACTTTGAAGAGGCAGTCTAGAGATATGAACAGCATGATAGATGAAATCAGTAATATGATATGGATGAGGGACAACAAAAACAATAATTAATGTATATCTGAAGAGGATACCTTCATGATGAGAGATATTAACTGGCAAATACGTTATGCAAAAGCAATACAAAAAATACAAATATGACTATGGCCATCAAACTTCTAGCAAATTAATTAATTTTCCAATTAATTAGTTATTATTATAGGAAAATAGGTAGCATGTATATTGTAATAAATTATATTAATTCCACTTCATTTTTTAGCCACTTTTTCATTTTAGTTTATCTTTTTTTTTTTTTTTTCATTCACAGTATTCTGTTTTGATATGGCTCCAGAAATTAATTGTTTCTGGAGATGTACTTTTGCACTTGGAGCTAACTAAGTTTCAACTCTGCTGTCACAGGAGGTCACTGATTTGAAAATAAAGTTAGAAAAATGTGAAGCTGAACTTGAAAAAACCAGGAAAGCTAATGAATCGAGCCTTCTTCCATTGTCAATTTTATCTGTTGGCTCACACGTGGAAGCGCTGTACGTTCATGCCTTATTTATTTTTGTCTGTGAATTTGGATTTGCTTTTTGATAGTTTTTTTGTGGAAGAAATTCGTTTTGTGGGAACGTCTGTTAAAGCTGTTGAAGAAAAGAAGGGTGCATTTGGTTGCATCTTTTGTTTTCCAAATATGTTTAGATTTAAAAACAATTTAGAGTGGGAGTATACTAATAGCAAAGCATAATTTTTAAATGGCTGCTTGTGTTGACGAGGTAGTTATTATGATCATTCAACGTTATTACGTGCACTAGTTATGCTTAGTAGGTCAATTTTTTTAATGAACTAACATTGAACTATTGAATTCATGCACATGACTTAGCGTATGACTGAATGGATTAGATACAAAAATATGTTTTGTATAGATTAATAATAATGCAGGGAGGTTAGCTTTCCAGGTATAAGCTGTTTGCAAGAGGGAGTTGATGTTTCTAGTTATACAAGTATTTTTGCATGGCGGTGAAATGTCATACTATCAAGTTTCTTGCAGGGGGGAGGAATCCAGGAGGATTCCAAGATGCTTTTATAAGATTTCCAATTCTTATTTTTCCCAGGAGTTCTGGGAGGATTCCAATGAAGATATACCTTCAGTTTAGTCCAACCATGGGAGGCATTTATGCATTGGATTCCAAAATTGGAACTGCTATACAAGAGGTGTAAAATGGGTCTATAACAAACCTGCAGCTCGTCCTTCTACAAGCTTTGGAACATTTCAAGGGGCTGTTATTTGAAGGAATTAGTTTTCTAAGTCAATGGTTTCTGTGTATTTAAATGTTTATTTTTTGATAGTTCTCAATTGTTACAAATAGGAATTGTTGTGATTGATTGTAAGGAAGTTAGGTTTTATGAATTAGTAATTCCATATTTCTATCTCCCCTCAAACCCCTCTCCATCGCTAGCTTACTTTTCCTGTCTGCTCTTATGGTTATCATCACAGAAGACTTTCTCCAACTCTCTCTACTCTCAAGTTTTGGTCCAATTGCATTAGTGAACTCTCAGCTTGATCTTCTTTTTAACTGTTTCAGATTTCTTCATGCTGCCATTTAGACATCAGGTTCAAAGTCATCTTGTCCAATGAATGTTCCTTTTCTCTGTTTAACGTCTTCCTTTCGAAATGACAATAATTAACACACTAAATAAGACACAAAGTCTAACAATAACAAATAAAAAGGACACAACATGAAACACATGCACGACATCTTACAACTTGAAATAAAAGGACATAACAACACTTAAAAACTTTTATATATTTTAGAACGAACAACACATATAACTCACACGACAAACTATATTTCAGAACATAAAAACACCTAAAAGGTTTTCATTGATTGAGAAGAAAGATATGGGGTGGAAACTTGCGAAGAGAAGAAGTAGATAAGAAGCCTAAGACGAAGTTATAAAGAGGAGAGGAGAAAGGGGGACATAGCTCGCAAGCTATCAAAGAAGAACCTTTAGGATTTCATGCTACAAAAATCATCCATAATCTCTCTTTTAAATGCTACAAAAAAACCCCAATATATAGGTGAAGGGAACTAAATAGCAAAACAGCCGCCTATGATGCACAGACACGGGACACGGCGACACAGACATGACACGACACGGACACGGGACACGGCTTTTTTTGAAAATATATGACACCGGTACGGCGCGGACATGGCAATACATTTTTTTATATGGTGTATATATGTTAATGTAATATCATATTAAAAATGACAAACAATAATAAATGAGTGACACGATAACTTGTCTAGCTTATAATATAAAATATTTCGTACAAAATATCTAGTACAACCACAAAAATATAAACAAATAATCACTTACTACAACATCAAGCATTCAATATTCAACTAATAGGATTAGCTTTAGAGATTTATTTTTGACCTTCAATATCATCATCATTGAATATCACTGCTTTCAACTCTAGTTTAACAAGAGAAAGATTTGTATTTGTGCAAAAAGAGAGGAGATGAAAATACCTTCACTGCCAAAGAGAAATGAAAATGAGAATATTTGATGAATGGGTATTAATTGCAGACGTTGATTTGGTGTTGTGGATAAGAAATTTAGTTTAAATCTCACAAAATATAAGAAATTATATTTAAAAAAAAATTATAAAATATTTAAGATATGCGTGTGGGACATGCGTGTCCAATTTGTTTTAAATATTTTTTTTTAATCGGACACGTTTTTGGTGTGTTCGACAAGTGTCGGAGGAGTGTCGGACGAGTGTCGTGTCGGACATGGTGTCAGACACTGCACGCCTCTTTGAGGAGAAGTGTCGGTGCATCTTAGACAGCCGCCCACTTAAACAATTAAGGCAGAGGGAGGTAAAAAGCCAAAAGACCACCGTCTGGAGCAACACACAAAGGGGCATGCGGGAAACAACCAAAGAACGAACATCGCCGGGGGAAGAATCGGGACAGGCAGAGTAATCAAACAACCCAAAGCAAAGGAACCAGGAAAGCCATGCAGGGACCGAACAACCACAAGGGGAATCGGGAATGCTTGGGGCTTTGCCTACATCAAATCTCCCCTGGTTTAGAGTTGTCATCTCTTGATGAGATGACTTTAGAACTTCCATGACGTGTCGAAGGCGCCACATCCAACACTTGAATTAAGGCCGCATATTTTCTCTGAATCATTTCTCTTTCTTGCTTAAATTGGGCTTGAAGAAGTTTCTTTCTCTTCTCGAATTTTTCTATTCACAAGTACATTTGATATTGAGTTTTATACAACTCGTTCTGGATGGAATCGGTAGAGCTTCCCTGGGATGGGATCCATCTGTTCTAAGGAATAGATTCTTCAAGATCACTTGGTTAATTTTCACCAACTTCAGAGTCGATTTCTTCTTGCTTTGGATCCTCCAATTATCGATGAGGGTTCATAATATATATTTTTTTTAATTTTTTTGAAATAGAAAGGAAGACATCAAAACCTAGGCTCTGGTACCAAAATGATGCAACCAAAATTTATAGGAAGCTATGGTTGCAAAAGCTAAACGTCTTCCTTTCGGAATGACAATAATTAACACAAAATAACACATGAAACCTAACAATAACAAATAAAAAGGACACAACATGAAACACACGCATGATACCTTACAACTTGAAATAAAAGGACTTAACAATACTTAAAAACTTTTATATATTTTCGAATGGACAACACATACAACTCACATGACAAACAATATCTCAGAACATAAAAACACCTAAAAGCTTTTCATTGATTGAAAAGAAAGATACAAATGACGTGGAAACTTGTGGAGAGAATAAGTAGATAAGAAGCCCGAGACGAAGTTATAGAGAGGGGAGAAGAAAGGGGGACATAGCTCGCAAGCTATCAAAGAAGAACCCTCAGGTTTTCATGCTCAAAAAATCATCCATAATCTCTCTTTTAAATGCCACAAAACAGCCCCAATATATATATGTAAAGAAAGGGAACTAAACATCTGCACACTTAAACCAATAAGGCAGAGGGAGGTAAAAAGCCAAAAGACCACCACTTGGAGCAGCATACGAAAGGGCACGCGGGAAACAACCAATGAACGGACAATGTTGGGGGAAGAATCGGGACAGGCAGAGGAACCAAACAGCCCAAAGCAAAGGAACTGGGAAAGCCATGCAAGGACCGAACAACCACAATGGGAATCGGGAATGCAGGGGGGCTTTGCCTACATCAATTTATTCACTGATTTGAGATATAGATGCGGAGTAAAACCCACAAACAATGAGATAAAGATGGGGAAGTCTTGACAAAAGGAGGGGAAGTTAATGGGGATAGTTTCTATATAAACCCTAGCTTCAATATGGTAGTGTTCTTTTAGTTTTATTGAAAAACTCTAGCAAGTATGCTCGGGAAATTAGCTATCCTATCAATTTTATGAAAATCCTAGTTGATTTCATTTTTTTGACCACTTTACCATAATATCCGTATAGTAAGTTGGTGAAAGAATTGTGATAAAGTCTCATTAGACCTTAAAATTTTCATTTGGTAGTTAGGTTGGGAAGCACCAATCCCTCAACCCTTTGGACACTTTTTTGAACACAGAAAGATTTTTGATGCTATTCTTATCCATGAAGGTTTTGAATCATTTTGTTATCCATATGATGTTTGCAAGAGGAGAGAAGGTAGATGAAATTGAAGTTCGGGGGAAGAGTTGAAGGTGAGGTTTTGGATGGAGTTGAAATTTTTAGTTATACACTCAAATTAATTACAGGAGAGAGAGAGGGGGGGGTCTTAAGGTCTTTGATCATGCACTCAAGTTGTATGCAAGAGGGATATTAGCCCTAGCCCGAAATTTTTAGTGACAACTGAGATTCCACCAAAAAAGAATATTTTGACAGATTTCGAATGAAAATCAATGGAACTTGTAGTGAAAAAAGTGATGGAAATGCAACTTCAAAATATATGGATGGGCTAATCAACGGATTTGATGATGCGGACATCCAACCGTCCATGCCAATCCGAGGAGGAGCTGAAGATCGACGACCGAGATCACTTTGCTTTATTTTCGTTTATTAAGTGCATTTTAATTTAGTTTTGCAATTTTCCATTTTACCCTCTTGTTTTATGTAAGCCCAAGAGGCGAATGTGTCTTTTAATTTCTCTTGAGGCCTATATATAGAGGCTCCTTCTCTTGTATTTGGAAGATGGATTATTGATAATGGAAAATTTTATTTTCATGTTGATCTCTTAGTGAGTTCAGAAGGATCTCTTTGTGAGTTCCGACTTTCCCAAGATCTCTTTGTGAGTTCCTGAGGAGAGTTTCGCGGATCTCTTTGTGAGTTCCGAGATTCTCAAGATCTCTTTGTGAGTTCTTGAGGAGAGTTTCGTGGATCTCTGTGTGAGTTCCGATATCCCTACAATCTCCTTTGAGATCTTGAAGTTTAAGAGCGTGAGGTTAGAAATTCCTAGATTTCCCCAAACTTCTCATCCTCTACCAAGCTCGGGCTTTTCCTCCCCAAGTTCTTCTTGCCGCCGGCCCTGTTGGCCCGTCCAGAAATTCACCCGCCGGCCATCCCTCAGGCCGACATCCACCAACCCCCACCTCCCCCTCTCTTCCTCCTTGGAATAAAGAAATTTCTTAATTAGGAGAGGCTCACAATTAATGACAATTCAAATTCAAAATTTGAATTTGAATTAGCATTAATTACTCCTTAAATTCGTCCCTCCAATTAAGCCAATAACCATTAATTTAAATCTGAAATTTAATTTCAGATTTAAATCAATTAATCATTTAATTCTCACAATTAATGACAATTCAAATTCAAAATTTGAATTTGAATTAGCATTAATTACTTCTTAAATTCGTCCCTCCAATTAAGCCAATAATCATTAATTTAAATTTGAAATTTAATTTCAGATTTAAATTAATTAATCCTCCCAATTAATGACAATTCAAATTCAAAATTTGAATTTGAATTATTTTTAATTACTCCTTAATTTCAGATTTCCATTCTCTCTCCCCAAATTGATTTGGGCTTTAATTAATCTTGCCACCTAGGCAAGTATATGGCATTTATGTTTCACATCATTTGATCTGTCAAAATTTTTGACCGGGAAAATTGCCAGTTAGCCCCCTCCCCCTAAGTTATTTTGGCTCTTTTCTGTTGCTTTTCTCATTGCAATCATTCGTATTCTAGCTGAAAATCCTTGAGAAACCTGAAGGAATTTTTTTTTTTTAAATGATAAATTTAGTTAGCACCTCCTCAAAAAGTTCAATCGTCCATACCCAGATACCTCACATTATTGATGATCATTTTGTGTAACTAGCTAAATGACAATAAAATTGAACAAATTTGAATGTATGAAATATCTCATCTTAAACACTATACATTAAAGGTAAAACAAATGTTGCATTAAAGTTTAAAAAGCATAAAAATAGAATGTTTGCTTTACTTCTCTTACTTTTCTTCCGTGTCTTTGGTATCTTCTGTTGCTACTTATTGCTGGCTTTTCGGTATTCACTGAAAAATGTCCATAAATCTTATATGCACATCTAGTAAAGAAATCATTCATATAACAGTAGAGAAAACATGGATCTAACAATTAAAAAAAAAAGAAAAAATAGAGAAAGCAGAAAAATCCTTGATTTAACTGTGAAATCGATGCTTGTTGGAGGTCGAGAACTTGCTAAACCTGTAGTTCTAAGGGGGAGAAGAGTCGATGGGAGCTAATCAGGCTGAATAGGGTGGTTGCTACTTGCTAGAAGATGATAGGGTGGAGCGAATCGAGAGTGCTGCAACTGCTAGGGAAAGAAAAAAGAAAAGAAATGAGAGAAATAAGGAAAGGGATCAGGAAAGATCGGGGAAATTAAAATATACTGATCTCACAAATTCTACTGGAAATCCTAGCAAAAGATTCCGGTGGTGTGGCTGTTAATAGATGTGTGTGGTGAGAAAAACTAATTGTTTAGACTTGGTGCTCGTTACTGCTGCTTTAGAAACAGAGATCAATTTAGAATGTAATAAGCAAGATTGAGACATAGTGTTATTGATCTAGAAGTTACTGGAAATACTTTTTGATGCATCTTTACTTAGCAATTTTTTTTCCAGTTATTGATTTGTTTATCACTAGAGAGGGAGTTTAAGGTAAACTTGAATTATGATGGTCAACCATAGAGTCTATCAAGGCTTTCGTTTGAGTAGATCTAAAACTGAATATATGGAATGTAATTTTAGTAATAATAGATCTAGTGGGGGGATTGTAACTTTTTTGGGCGATCAAGTCATCAATAAGAGCTCATGTTTTAAATATCTTGGGTCTATTGTTCAGAGTGATGCTGAAATAGATGCGGATATTATTAGTAGAATTAAAGTTGAATGGTTGAAGTGGAGGGGAATGCATTGGGCTTGTTATGTGTTAGAAAAGTCCCTCTCAAACTTAAGAGAAAATTCTATAAGATGGTAGTGAGATTTGCAATGATTTATGGTGCAGAATATTAGCCATTAAAAGATAAGCATAAAAGATGAGGATGCTCAGGTGGATGAGTGGCTTTACTCTTAAAGACATGATACGAAATGAGCATATACATGAAAAGGTTGGAGTAGCACCAGTGGAAAATAAGATTAGAGAGAGTCGCTTTAGATGGTTTGGTCATATAAAATGGTGGCCTTCCGATGACCCTGTTAGAAAAGTAGATGTATTAGATTTGACTAATATTAAGATAGGTAGAGATAGAACTAAAAAGACTTGGTTAGAAAATATTATAAATGACCTTTCTTTATTTGATTTAAATGAGAATTTGACCCTTAATATGACACAATGGAGAAAAAAGATTCATCTAACTGACCCCACATAGTGGGATAAACGCTTGTTGTTGTTGTGTTGATTTGTTTGTCGGTTATTCTAAGTTGCTGATTAATTTCTTGCCTTCTCATGCATGGGAAGTCCTTGCGTCTTTTTTGTTGTATAGCACTTATTTCTTGCGGCTGGTTGATATATCCTTCTTATATCTTACTTGTGTTATCTAGTTATGTTGGTTCTTCTCTTTGTTGATTGCTATCCTATGTTTTCATGTGTCTTTGATTTACAGGGTAACCAGTGAAGCTGGATGTGATGTCAGCCAGATGCTTGTCCCTAGGATAGCAGCAGGTGTTTCTGGAACTGCATTGGCTGCTTCATTGCTTCGTGATGGTTGGAGTGTAGGTGTCAATATATATTTTGTTTTATTATAATCTGGACTTTTTAGCCCTTTTATAAGTTTTAGTTTTCTTGACCTTGTTTTTAAATGTCCTCCCCTGAGAATAGCTTACTAAAATGTATGAGAAATATCAAGAAGCTTCAGATGCTCTACGACATGAGAAATGGGGTCGAAAACATGCAGAAGCAATATTGGATCGGGTAATTATTGGTTTATAAATCTTTCAGCATGGTTTGCTTCTTGAAATTTGTCTCTTGTATGAAATCACATTCTGCTGCCAGTTTGCCCATACCTGCACTCACGTTTCAATATCTTTATATACAGATACTGTATTGCTAATTGCATTCCTTATGCACATGCACTTATTGGACTCATTCGTTAATCAAGAGCAGTGTTTAATTGTTCATCTTTTTTTTTTTTTTTCATTTTGTATTGTTAACACTTTCATCTTGTTCTTGCATCGAGTTCTTCAAAACATTAATTTACTTACCTCAATATATGATTGCTTTGTATACTTTAAACCTTCGTCTACTGCAAATATCCATTCATCTAGTTAATGGATTGGAATTTTGTAGGCTATAACTTGGTAGGATCTTATCTGCTGGTTCACTTGGTAGTCTAAGTGCAGAGTTTGGCATCTTTAGTCCATGTATTGAAAAGTGGCCATTGCAAACAGAAAATTTATCAGTTTTTGGTTATTCTTGTTGATTTTCTACCCATATTTAACTTGGTTAGGTCATTGAGTTATTGATGTTTGAGGCATTAAATTATGCTATTTAGCCCTTTTTGCTGAACACTTTAAATAGCTTAGTTCAAGCTTATTATTAGGGATGGTTATTTGTTTGACTTTAGACAGCCCAGTTTGATTTCTAAAATTGGTGGCTAATCCTTCAAATAAATACTCTACCTGCCATTTGAATGGAATTAGAAAACCCTCGATTAGTAGGTACCATCTTCTTCAATGTTAAATAAATTTGGATGAACTACTTTCTATGTCCAATGTCTGTCAGTAATAGGGTTAGATTAGGTTCATCTAACTAGGCAAACTTCCCATCTTCACTGATGTTTGACAGACATCCACTTTATCCAACCTAAGTGGGGATTACGCTGTCACACTTCACGACGCCCCTCACCAAATCACGTAGGGTGCAGCAGAGAAAAACATACAATTCCTCAAATGACCAAAGCTCATAACATAACCATTCCATTTAACATTTAGATCACATTTCACCATATTAATCTATAAAATGGAATTATTCAAAATCATTTACTTCATATGTATATAATTACTATGTAACTAACCACCCAATTTTTTTTTTCATAAGAATAGTTCACATACCTTTGTGTTCAAGACTCATCTTATATCACTATAAAATAAAACATAATTTGAAATTGACTTGAGTCTACTCAGCTTTCACCTTATCCTTGCCCTTTCTATATAAACAGCCGAAATAAAATCTTATAAATTATGAGGCTTAGAAAGATATTCAATTCTAATACAATATTCAAGTATATGAAACACAATACTTACCTGTGTATCAACAAACACTTCTAAGAAAAGAAATATGTCTATAATCTTTTAATAGTAATGATACAAAGGAGGGTATAACATAACAAGTGAAAATGTTTGTACATGTGACAGTTATGCGGATTGTTATTTTAATATCATTCCATATGGTAGTACTATGTTAGCATGAAACCCGCAAGTTTTTGGCTCCAAAAATTCTTCACATTATCTCTCTTTTTTCTCTTCAAAACATCACATATTTATACGAGAAAAGGGGAAGCCAAACAGCCTAAAATACCACCAACCGAACCAATCAGGAAAGGAGAAACAGAAGGCCAGCAGGCAGCCTGGAACAACAGCCAAAGGAACCACATGGGGAAGAGGAACAGGGAACCACAGGGAATAGCACCAGGCAACCATGGGATAGGAGCTAGGCGGAAACCGAAAGGCCAACACAATGTGTGTGTGTGGGGGGGGAGGGGGAATGAACCAAAACTTGCATTTATGAGCTAAAAAGGAGGAGAACTACAAGTAGTAATGAGCTGAAAAAGAAGCAGTAACTAAACATTAATGAGCTAGAAAACAACAAAAACCGAACAGCCAAGCCCAAACCGAGAAGACAACATCAACCCAAGAGCCAAGGCAAATAAATTGCTCCCCCTGCCTACATCAAGGCTTCATATCATACCCTCTCGACAAAATTTTATCCGCTCATAAACCTATAGAGCGAGCTACTTTACTTGATCTAAATGATTGAAAGAAAGGAAAAAGGTTAGCGTGTTGAACATAAATACTAAATATCCAAAGATACTACAACGAATTCATTGTGTGAAATTCACACAATAAATTTGTTGGGAGGCAATTTATTTACTAAATAAAAATGAAAATAAAAATTTGAACAGGTGCCGAAACAATACACCTGCCTCCGAGCCGGCCCCACTTCGCGTGATCTCCCTAACAACGCAAAGCTTCGCTTCTCTAATTTCCCTCACAACATAAAACCACCCTAGTCATCCGCTCTCAGCATTCAAACTCCTCCCTCGCTCATCTCTCTGTATTGCACGCAAACAGAAGCTGAAGCCCCCAACTGCTTCGCCTAGTCCGCCGCCGCTCTTCACTGGCCTCCGCTTGCTCTTCCAACGCCCAAATCCCACCTGAATCAAGCCAACACCGGCCTACCTATGTGCCACCAAACCAGTCTACACAAAGCCTCCTCTTGCTTCCGCCTATTTTGTTTGGATAGTTCTAGCGCTTAACGCATCTGACCGAATACCTGTGCGCTTGAGCCCCTCTCCTCGTCCGACTCAAAGCCATCACTCACGTGCTCAAGTCTCCTCCTGCAACCTAATCCCGTCGTGCGTGAAGCCTCCTTGTGTAAATTCACAGTGCAAAGTTTCTAATTATAACTCCTCAATCCCAACCGAGTATAATATCATGATTGTGTGCAAGTGCTCAAGAAATGGTATATTGCTCTGGTTTATTAGTCTCTAATACAAAGACAACAACGATTATTATTTATAATTTTATCTGTGTATAAGTTAGCGATGACAGCTAGTAGTGAGAGTAATTAAATTAATATTCTTGTATAATTAATCAAATGAAAAGCATGGACAATAAAATCAAGACTCGTTCCGTCGACTCTAAGTCCGACCGAAATGGTTTCAAAATGAAGACCTCGCCGTCGACTTTAAGTCTGGCCGAATGCCTCAGAAATGTACAGGGTAATTAAATTTAACCGTTAATTAATTCAATTAAAATGGTAAAATTGATTTTTAATATTAATTAACTTATTTAATTAATTAATATTTAATAGAAATTAATTAAATAAATTAATCAAAATAATTGATTAATTCAGATTTTTAAAGTTTTCTATATTTACAAATGCATGAGAGTTGAGAAGCTACAAACACTCATCTTCTTCCATACTCTCTTCTCTAAATATTTCCTTCTTTTTAATGATGGTTGCAATCATCATTGCAATTAAATTCATTTGAGTTACTAAAAAGCTTACTACCGAACATGTTCTTCCATTTACTTTTATCCTGCTTCTCATCATTCTCCTAAATATTATCCGGCATAAATTAGAACTTTTTGGAGATCATTTCAATCCAAAGACTATTTTGAAGTGCTTCAAACGTCTCTAAATGAGACATCTCTTTAAGAGATTTCAACATAGATAACATTAAGTGGAAGACTTTGAATTATTGTGGCATTTTATATGTTATTTTCCTTTGAAATATTAGAAGTATCTGGCATTCTCCTTTTGAAATATTACGGCCTATGGCTGTCAAAACATTATCTCTCTTTCTCTAGTTAATGAAATAGCTAAATCAAAATTAATTGACTAGTCAAAGTTAATTAGTCAATTAAATTTAATTGATTAATTTTAAATCAAAGAGCATTTGAAATTCACAAAATTAATTGACTAGCCAAAGTTAATTAATCAATTAATTTAATTGTTTAATTTTAAATCCAAAAGTATTTGAAGTCCGAGGGTTTTAAAATATGATAACATTTTAAATTTGAGAGTTTTAAAATATAAGAGCAATTTAAAATTTGAGAAAAAAATTATATTGAAGAACTCTCATTTAAAATTTGAGAGTAATTAAATTTAAATTGATTAATTGGCTAATTAATTAATTGTTCAATTGAGTTATTTTAAATAAAATACAATAAATAAAAGGGTGGGGGAGGAATCTTTTCCACTAATTGACATATTCAACTCTACTCAAAACAACACAAAACTCAACCAACACTAACAACTCTTAACATAGCTCTCAAACTCAACATATTAAGTCTCTCTAACATAACAACAGCTCTCAAATAACTCACAAAATAAAAGCTCTCATACTCTCCAAACAGAGCAACTCTCAAACTCTCCAATAAACAAAACATTCTGCATGCTCTCCAAAGTTTCTCTTGTATGAGCTCCTGCAAACAAGTAAATAAAGTCAATTAACTTTTGAAAGAACAAGTGCTACGATAAACTTCTAGTATATCGGTGCAAGAAAAGTAATGTACAAAAATAGGAAAAGAAACTATTGTAGCAAGAAATACTAGTGTCGCAACATCTGCAAACTAGTAAGTGTCAAACTAGTAAATAAATTGTTAGTAAACAACTAAAAATCATGGTCTGGTTTCGAACAACTGCTGTTCACTCAAACAACCAATTTCAAACTAATGGGTGGGCATATTTGTTTATAGGTCTAAGTTTTAATACTCTCCAATGAGCAACTTATAAGTGAAGTGATAAGATGAGATGAGAAGAAGAAGGTGGACAAAGCTCGCAAGCTCCTCCAAGAAAATCCCAAGGATTTCTTTTCAAAAATTCATATATCACTCTCTCTAAAACATTACAAAATCCCTCATATTTATAGGTATAAAAGGGGAATACAGACAGCCATAAGCATTAATTAAAAGCTTATTAAATAGGGAATATGAAAAAAACAACAGTCAACTCCAAGAAACAAAGCACCAAAGCAATGGAAAAGCCCCCCAAAAGCCACGGGAAGCAGCCCAGCCAGGAACCGAAGAGGCAGCCGCGGAAACCCAAGAGGCCCGCATGGAACCGAGGCACCAGGCACGGAAAAAGCCACCCAACATGGAAGACCAGCAGCCCACCGTGGGAACCAAGGAGCCAAGGCACGGAAACAGCCAACCCGTGGAAGCCAAGGAGCCAAGCACGGGAAACAAACATCCTAGGGATCCCAAAAGCCATTTTGGAATCCCAAGGGACAAACTAATATTTAAGATATAAAAACTATTATATAATTAAGATAACTAATGAACTAAAACCTAGCTAATAAATGTGCTAACCTTTAGTTCAATAAATGAACTAAAAACCAGCTCATAAATGAGCTAAATTCCAGCTCAAAATTTATTGAGCTAGTAAGCCCAAGGGAAACCAAAACCAACTTATTTTGGGTTTGAGTTGACCCCCCCTCCCTTGCCTACATCAAACTCCCCTTTTTGAGAACTCATCTACGGATGAGTTAGCTTTTGCTTTATTTAGAGGAGGTGAAGGCGGAGCATCCAACTCTTTGATCTTTTCTCCAAACTTTTTCAAAATGTCTTCTTGCTCTTTCTCGAAATGTCTTTGGAGAAATGTCTTCCACTTCTCGAATTTCTGATCACATAAGAACATGTGATATTGAAGCTTGTATAATCGGTCTTGAAGCGGATCTGTAGAATCACCTTCTGCAGGAATCCATCTGTCCAACGGAAGAGGTACATCAGGATTATCTGGATTGATTTCCTCCTTGAATGAAGCCATATTTTTGTCTTTTTCCATTTTTAAAAGAAAGACTCAACAAACAAGACTCAAAAGACTCAACCTAAAAAACTTAGACTCACAAGATTGACAAAACTTACAACAAGACTTGACTTGACAAACCAAAACAAGATTTGACAAACCAACCTAGGACTTCCTAACTTGCTCTGATACCAAAAATGATGCGAGCAAAAATCTCTCCGGGGAGAAGGGCCCCAAGAAAGGATTCTCTATCACAAAAAACAATAACAACAACAAGACAAAACATTTACTTGGTAATAGGGAAGTACAAACTCTTACAATTCAAATTTAAAAAAAAAAACACTTACGAACTCGACTCAACCAAGACACCCTAAACTTGCTTTACTTAAGAAGAAGGATGCAGGTGGGGTGTAAACTTGCGGAGAGACGAAAGAGGTTAGAAGCCAAGAAGAAGGGTGGAAAGCACTCGCAAGTCTTTCCTCGAGAAGATGAGAAGAAGGTGGACAAAGCTCGCAAGCTCCTCCAAGAAAATCCTAAGGATTTCTTTTCAAAAATTCAGATATCACTCTCTCTAAAACATTACAAAACCCCTCATATTTATAGGTATGAAAGGGGAATACAAATAGCCATAAACATTAATTAAAAGCTTATTAAATAGGGAATATGAAAAACCACAATAGTCAACTCCAAGAAACAAAGAACCAAAGCCATGGAAAAGCCCCTCAAAAGCCACAGGAAGCAGCCCAGCCAGGAACCGAAGAGGCAGCCGCGGAAACCCAAGAGGCCCCCATGGAACCGAGGCACCAGGCACGGAAAAAGCCACCCAGCACGGAAGACCAGCAGCCCACCGTGGGATACAAGGAGCCAAGGCACGGAAACAGCCAACCCGTTGAAGCCAAGGAGCCAAGTACGGGAAACAAACATCCTAGGATCCCAAAAGCCATTTTGGAATCCCAAGGGACAAACTAATATTTAAGATATAAAAATTATTACATAATTAAGATAATTAATGAACTAAAACCTAGCTAATAAATGAGCTAACCTTTAGTTCAATAAATGAACTAAAAACCAGCTCATAAATGAGCTAAATTCCAGCTCAAAATTTATTGAGCTAGTAAGCCCAAGGGAAATCAAAACCAACTTATTTTGGGTTTGAGTTGACCCCTCCTTTACCTACATCAGGTTGTAAGACACATCTTTGAACAACTCATAAAGTAGAGTCATAAGTCCCACTTCAAATTAAACCTATGGGCTACTTTCAATTAAAGCCGTAAGTCCAAACCAAAATTTAAAACACTTGGGATACTTTTAAGAGAAGTTGTTAGACCCGCTTCAATTCAAACTCTTGGGACACTTCTAAATGAAGTCATAAATCCCAAACTAAATTAACTTATGGGTATTCAAATAGATGTAAATCCCAAAACACCCAATAAAATTAAAATTCACATCTAACCATCTCTGTCAGCTCGGGATGCTTAAGAGGAGGCAACTAATGATTGCTAATCAGTTTCCCTAAACACTACGATCAATGATTGTGTAACAGCTCAAATGCTTAACTATTGATTTATTGTATTTTTTGGCCTAAGAGCCTCACAGTTTTGTCCTGTTAGTGTAACTTCCCAATAAGTTACCCATCTTAGAATTGCTCTGGGATGAGCACACTTAACTACGAAATTTCTTACGAAAATTTCGGCCATTACACGGAAAGGCGCCTCAATGTTTAAGAGTTAGCTTTCTTTTACTTAAGGGGTTTCATAATCTTCCCCACTTAAGTAACTGACTTCCTCGTCTAAATCTATATCCCAGAATCATCCACCAGGCAGATAGGACTCTAGAGGTGGCCCCTACAAGTTCAAGTGGTGGCTCCTGTTATGTAGCACATTGTCTCATACAGGGTTCAAGATGTGGTTCCAATGGCGTAGCACTTTGTCTTGCATGGCACTTAGCTTACATATTCCGGCTGGTGTATTGATCTGATACCATTTGTAATAGCCCAAACTCTTAGCTATTGAGATATTGTCCGCTTTGGTCTAAGAGTCTCACGATTTTGCCTTGTTAGTTTAACTTCCCAGTAGGTTACTCATCCCATAATTGCTCTGGGATGAACACACTTAACTGCGGAGTTTCTTATAGAAATATCGGCCATTACACCAAAAGGCGCCTTGATGTTTAAGAGTTAACTTTCTTTTACTTAAAGGGTTTCACATATTGTTAGTGTTGGTAGATTGAAACCTACGATATACCCGAGCTGATGGAACCATGGGATCTTCATTGGGTGTACCTCCATTTTCTCTGCAATTGAAACTAAGCACCTAAAAATTTTTCATCCTTAATCGAGAGTTTTTTCTTATGTGTTAAGAGGGGTAATTAATTATGAGTGCTTGCGCTCTTGGGAAGTAAGAACTCCATATCCAATTAAACTCTGATACTACCTGATTAATTATAATTTGACTTAAGTGAAATGGAATCTTACAGCTACAAAGCGGGATTCATGCATTCGTGTCATTTTTCTTGAGCAAAAAAAAAAAAGATAAATAATAATATGGTTGTTAGGTGCATCAACATATAAGTATGTATGACTATATAAATCATATAATACAAATCCTTATATGAAAGATAAATAGCAGTATCATATAACAAAATCACTTATTACAAGAAGTTACTCGTGGAATGGTTTATTGACTCATAATTTCACAGCAGGCAAGAGTATAAAATATATATCACCTACAACTAGTTTAAATGCATTTATACTGATAATATTCAGTCAACTTGCATATTGTTCTAAAAATATATATCTTACCACCGCGGCAAGTTATTTCTTCACTTCTGACACTCCGCAATTTCTTTCACTTATAATTTACCTACACAATAAAAAATTCAAATCCTTCAATTTATTTTTCTAATTATATAATTAAAATCAATTTATTCTAAAATAATATTTTTACCTCAAAACTTCCCCTCATAAACCTGTTGAAATGCTAAATAACAATAGGATACAATCAAAATTAGACATTTTGTCTAAAAATTTTGGGTATTACATACACTACATATCAGTTAGCTAAAAATACATTGTACCTAGTTTATATAGGGTACACTATGGACAATTTTGCCAATATTGGAACAATTTTGCAATTTATGCACTTCATTCTGCAATATTATAGTGGGTGCAAAATAGAAATCCCAAAAGTTTCAACCCCATCGCATTTGATGTTGTCCTCTCCACTCCTATGACCTATCTTTTGCTTGTAGAAAATGACTAGCAAACTTAGAAGATGCGGTGCACTTATATTTATACTTTCTTGACGTGATTGTTTTTTGTGTACTATGTGGATGCTGAATGAACTTCCCAAATTCCCCTTTTTAATTAAAAATGGCAATTTAGTTGTATGTACAGTATCTTTTTCATTCTCCCAGTCAAAATCTTGTTGAGGTGCTAAATATTTAAAGGCTGTTTAACCCTTACGATATGCTTAATTGTTATTAAATTGATTACCATTATTATGTTTTTCAGTAACTTTTTTTATCTATTTAGTGAAGATTCTTATTTTCTGCTTGCATTCAACCTCCGACATCATATCAGTTTTGTTTATGTTTTTTGCACTCTCTTCATTTTTCTTAGTTGACTAATGCAGGTTCTACATGAGATTGAGCAGAAGGCTGAAATGATTTTAGAAGAGCGAGGTGGCTGCTATCTGCAATACTGTTCTATTTGTTTTGTCATCTTTTTTATTTCATGCACTGAAACATGAAATTTTGTTTTTTTATTCTTTTTGAATTTTTATTTATGGATTATTCTACTGCAAAATAGTTTTCATGGAATTTATTCTGTTAGTTTATTTAATCTCTTATTTATGCATCCTAATGTAAAAAGTGAAAATTTTAGTTTTGAAAACCTTATTTTGTTCTGGTGATCTTTATGACATGAATCATTTATGAAATTGTGTTAATGCTAGGCGTCCCTTGGAAGCGACGCACTGTATGACCTGAATACAGTGACAAGTGTGCAAGGGCCGCTGCACCAGCGCCCGGGTGCAGTATTAAATAGGCAAGGGTTCCCACATCAAGGACGAATGTGGGCAAAGACGCTAGTCTATGATACCAAAAAATATGAAACTAAAATTAGGATAGGAACTTGGAATATAGGTTCTCTTACAGGAAAATTAATGGAATTAATAGATATTATGATTCATAGGAAGTTAAATATTTTGTGCATTCATGAAACTAAATGGGTTGAAGAGAATGCTAAGGAAATTGATGATATTGGATTTAAACTTTGGTATTCGGGTAAGAGTCGTACTAGAAATGGTGTAGATGCTATTATAGATAAGAGTTTGAAGGATAATATTATAAAAATTAATAAGATTGGAGATAGAATTATAGATTTAAAGATTGTTGTTGATATTAAAATTGTTAATATTATAAGTGCTATTATTAGTCATGGATATGTATGCAGGAGCTATCAAATCATTAAAGATATGTATGCAGGAGCTATCAAACCACCTTGGTAAGAAAGGAGTTAATAACACTTATATTCAAATCATTAAAGATATGTATGCAGGAGCTATTACTTGTGTTAAAAAACAAGGTGGTTTGATCAAGTATTTTCCTATTTCAGTTGGGTTACATCAAGGATCAGCCTTAAGCCCATATCTTTTTTCTTTAGTCATGGATGTTCTCACTAGACATTTGCAAGTGGATGTACCTTGGTGTATGCTTTTTGCTGATGATATTCTTCTTGTTGATAAGACTGGAGAGGGAGTTGGAGGTAAACTTGAATTATGGAGGCCAACCTTAGAGTCTAAAGGTTTTCACTTGATTAGATCTAAAACGGAATATATGGAGTGTAATTATAGTAGTAATAGACCTAGTGAGGGGATTGTGACTTGGGCGATCAAGTCATTAATAAGAGTACACATTTTAGATATCTTGGATCTATTGTTCAGAGTGATGGTGAAATAGATGGAGATATTATCAGCATAATTCAAGTTGGATGGTTGAAGTGGAGGAATGCATTAGGCTTGTTGTGTGATAGAAAAGTACCCCTCAAACTTAAGGGAAAATTCTATAAGATGGTGGTGAGGCCTGCAATGCTTTATGGGGCCGAATGTTGGCCATTAAAAGAGAAGCATAATACTAAGTTAAGTGTGACAGAGATGAGGATGCTCAGGTGGATGAGCGGCTTTACCCTTAGAGATATGATACGAAATTAGCATATCCGTGAAAAGGTTGGAGTAGCTCCAGTAGAAGATAAGATTTGAGAGAGTCGCCTTAGATGGTTTGATCGCCATAAAATGGCGGCCTTTCGATGACCCGTTTAGGAGAGTAGAGGTATTATATTTGACTTATGTTAAGAAAGGTAGAGGCAGACCTAAAAAGGCTTGGTTAGAAAATATTAGGAATGACCTTTCTTTATTAGATTTAAACGAGATTTGACTTTTAATAGGACACAATAGAGGAAAGGGATTCATGTAGCCGACCCCACGTAGTGGGATAAAGGCTTGATGTTGTTGTTGATCATTTTGCAACTTTTATGTTTAATGAAACACTTGTTTTACTGAATATTTTGTAACATCGATTAAATTTCCTAGTTCACTTATATTAAGATTAGTTAGCTGTCCTGATTTGTTGGAGTAGATACTGTATCCAAAGATTGTTTTGTGAAATTTTCTGAATGGGTTTGAGCTGTACTAGGTTCTCACTTTGCTTTATAAAGCAAGGCGAAATTTTTTTAATATCCTTGGTAGCTTCTTATTTTTGTTAATTTAATTAGATTTATGTTCCTAAACAGTGCTCTAGCATTCTGGTTATCTGTTAATGACTATGGGGCATGCAGCCATGTATATTGTGATCTAGCAAGCTATCGACACTTTTGTGAGTTTTAGAGTTAAAACTCACTAAAATTACTAGCGCTATTATTTAAATTTGATCAGATACGGCTATGCCGTGTCCAATTAAAATATTATTTAAATTTGACCGGACACGCATATCTGGTACGCGTGTCCTATTAAAAAAAATAGAACCGCAATTTGCCCTATTCATTTCGACCATCCGTTCGATATCCATATTCTTTTATGCGGCTTAAAAATTTCGGCGAGCTAGGTTTTTCGTTTTCGCACAGGTGTTCGTCTTCTTCATTATAGTCGAAGGAGCCATTCGACGACGCGAGCATAGAAGCGGACAGGATCATCCTTCATTGACAAAGAGGCTTGAAGACGCGAGCATTAAAGCCGACAGAATCCTTCGTCTACGGAGCGACTCGACAACACGAACACTGAAGGCGACGTGAGCATTGAGGGTTCGTTTTCTTCATTCTTCATTTTCGTTATCGTAGGCTCGGTACCGGAACTCTGTACCGCTCTGTATTCGGCACCGCTCAGTACTCGGTACCGCTCGATACTGCTCGGTACTGCTCGATATTGCTCAATACTGCTCGATACTTGGTACTGCTCGGTACTCTGTACTTCTCGGTACTCGGTATTGCTTAGTACTGCTCGGTACAGGAACTCGGTACTGCTCGGTCGGGCAGCGCCCCCTTGGACTCCCAGCAGAGGCGCAACATATCTACACTTTTAATTAAAAATTTTCATGTTTCAAATTCATGTGGATTAATTTGTGTCGATCCTTCGTAGGATAATGAGCTCTGGTGGTGTGGGAATTGGGTCTATTGATGGTCCTTCAGAGACAATTATTGAAGATAACAAATCTGTGGGGTTATGTGACAAAAATAGGTAAAACGTCATAAGGGGGTGAAAATATTGCATTCAAATGCAATTTTTGTAATGCCACATACGAAAGATCATATTATAGAGTGAAAACTCATTTGTTGAAGATTAGTGGTCATGGAATTAAAGTATGCCTGAATATAAGCTCATCACAAATGACTGAATTGCAAAGAAAAATCAGTGAAGCTGAGCAAACGAGTAAAAAAGAGTTTTCAAAATATATTCTACTTCCAAGTACTCATGCTTTATATTCTTCATCATCTTCTTCAGTTAGAAGTGATGACAATACTGTTAATAAGGGGCCTTTTCGGATGGAGGGATTTGAACCAAAAACAAGAAAGCATGTTGTAGATAGTGCTTTGGAGAAAGCATTTAATTTACAAATGAGAGAACAACTAGATGGAGAGATAGCTAGAGTGTTTTACTCAGTTGGACTTCCTTTTAACCTAGCAAGAAATCCACATTAAAAGAATGTCTTTACCTATGCATGCAATAATAATCTTGCAGGATATGTGCCACATGGATATAATGTCATTAGAACGAAGTTGTTGCAAAGAGAGATGGATAATATTGAGAAGTTGCTCGAGCCTACTAGAGGAGTATGAAAGGAAAAGGAGTTACTTTGGTTTGTGATGGATGGACAGATCCACAAAGAAGACCACTTATCAACTTCATGGCTGTAACAGAGAGCTATTTTATGTTTATCAAAGATGTAAACTGTAAAGGACAGTACAAGGATAAGTTCTTCATTTCTAATTTAATCAAAGAAGTTATAATGATGGTGGGGCCTTCAAACATCATCCAAGTCATTACTGATAATGCACCTATTTGTAGAGTTGCAGGTCTACTTGTAGAGCAAGCCTATCCTCATATTTTCATGACACCATATGTTGTGCGTACGCTTAATCTTACGTTGAAGAATATTTGCGCAGTTAAGAATACCGAGGCAAATGAAATCACCTACAATGAATGTCATTGGATAACAATGATTGCTGGAGATGCAGTTGTAATTATGAATTTTATTATGAATCACTCCATGAGACTCTCTATGTTCAATGATTTCTCTAATTTGAAAATGCTTGCAGTTGCTGAAGCTCTGTTTGCCTCGGTTATAGTGATGTTGAGAAGATTAAAAAAAATAATAAATGTTCTTCAAGCTATGGTGATCAGTGACAAATGGTCATGTTATGAGAAAGATGATGTTGTAAATGCTAGATGTATAAAGGAGAAGCTTTTAGATGATTTATGGTGGGATGAGATTGAATACATCATAAATTTCATAGATCCAATTTATGAGATATTGAGAGTAGCTGATACTGATAAGTCTTATTTACATCTCATTTATGTGATGAGGGATTCAATGCTTGCCAAACTAAAAGAAATTATATATATACATGAGAGGAAGGCACTTCATGAAGACTCAAGCTTTTGGGATGTTATTTATGCTATTCTAGAAGATAGGTGGAGCAAACGTAATACACCTTTCCATTGCTTGGCTCACTCACTCACTAAATCCTAGGTCAACATTTTTTATTATTAATTACAATTTGTTGTTTAGTAATTTCAACATTTTTCATTATTTCATTTTAATATTTTTTGAAAATATTCAACTAAAGAATGGCTTCAAGAGGATCCTCAAGGAGTTTATCCACGAAAAGATTTAGAAATTTCAAATATGAGGAAGACATGTTTGAAGTGTTATTTTCCAAATGAGGAGAGAAGAAGTGTCAATATTAGGCTTGCTAAATTTTTTGGTTATTTAGAGGACTTTGGTGACCTAGAGTCATTGTGTGATAGGTGGAGAATTGATCTGAAAATGTGGTGGATTATACATGGAGCTTCAGCACCTCTACTTCAAACAATCGCCATAAAATTACTTGGCCAAGTTTTATCCTCATCTTGTTGTAAAAGAAATTGGAGCACATACTCGTTCATCTAATCAATGAAGAGAAATAAAAT